ATGTCATATAACCTTATATTACCACAAAAGAGTCAATAAGTAATATTAACCCACTATTAAAGAACACTACCTTATAGAGGGCCATACAACCACCACAGGTGACCGAAACAAGTCATACTATCATCAATGACTATAATAGCTTACTAGGGGGATACTACAACAGGTGCCACATCAAAGGCCCCATAGTCTTATCACCCTCTTATTGAGCAATATCCTTATGAGGGGCTATACAACAGCTAAACAAGTCATACTATCATCATTAACTATATCTGGTTTTATCATTGACAAATAATGACCTACTAAGACACTCTAACAGGTTTCACATCAAAGGGGTAATAAAGTCTTATCACCCCCCTATTGTGCAACATCCTTTATGAGGGGCAATAAAACAATAACACATACAAGTCATAAAAGATAAAAGGGTCAAAGGTCAGATATGTAAAGTCTTATCAACTCCCATCTATTGTGCAACATCCTTTATGAGGATACAAACAATAACCAAACAAGTCATAAAAGATAAGAGGGTCAAAGGTCAGATGTCAGAGTGACAGGTGCCACATCAAAGGGATTTGGAGGCGGGACTAAGGTTTATGAGGGTCATAAATCACTCTCTTATCAGGTACTTAATCTCATTTGGACACATACGGTGTTCTTAATAAAGTTAAAGCCTTTTATTGTCATTATACACATACACATGTTAATACTACTGACCTGTATTTATTTGTGTCGTAGGCATGCAGAGTGGCTCTTTGAAACTGTTTACTAATGTAGACCAGAAAGCCATGCTGCTGAAGCGCCAGGCGTTTGCCATGTGCAGTGGAGAACTGGACCAGTATCATCTGTATCTGCCCCTCATTCAAGGTGTGTTACTGGACATTTATGTAGATTTCTATGTAATTATGTTAAATCAAGAGATTGATCGGCAGTGGACGTTTTCTTTAACCTTTATAATACTTCTCTCCCTTTCTTTTCAGAGCGTCTCACTGAGGCTTTGCGTATGAACCCTAGCCCTAACGTTACCGCCCAGATGTTCCTGATGTTTCGTGTTCTCCTATTGCGGATTTCGTCCCAGCACCTCACATCTCTTTGGCCAATCATGGTCACAGAACTGGTACGACCCCACCTTCTAAGAGCCTGGCTTTAAACACCAATACTGTAAATGTGTTTTTTTTTATCATCTTTAATGGAATCCTATTTTTCAACTTGTTCTTTCAGATTCGCGTATTTGCACGTCTGGAGAAAGCTCTGCAGTTAGAGAAAGACATCTCAAAGTGAGTTGAATATTTTATTCACATTTGAATGATGCTCTTGTTTACTCTCATATTCACATTACTTTTCTTGTGTACCACCCAGGCAGACTAAAGTAGTGCGGGGAGCCGTTGACAAGAATGGACCTGTACATTTCTCCCAGGCAGAGTTGGATATGTACTTGTCATCCTGCAAGTTTCTGGACACCTCCTTGGCTTTTCCTCCAGAGAGGATGCCTCTCTTTCAGATGTAAGAGCCCAATTCAGATCAAAAAGACTTTGAAGAAGCTATGTGGACTTCATATACATGATTTGTTTTTACTGCGTTTTATTTACTGTCTTACCTTTTCTGTGTAACTATCTGTTCCATGGACAGGTATCGTTGGGCATTTGTCCCTGAAGTGGATGTGAACCGCTACGGCGGCCCAGAGACGGCGCTGATAGAAGGAGAACTGGAATGCACTCCGAGTCCTCATGTTGTCAGGGTACTGGAAGGGATACAACAGCGATATGGGGTAAGCAAACTTATATGGCTTAAAAAGCACCAAGGTGTGTGCAACATTGTGTCTGTAATAACAGATCTGTGTTAATAAAGCTGTTTTTGTTGAACCTGCAGTTAAACATTCCACTGTTTAGCCATGTGCATGTGTATCAAGTGGTCATACTGTTGTTGTACAGTCATGTGACCTTGAGGTGGCACAATGCAACAGATGAATATCTCATTGTCAATTATAAACTTCAGCTGAAAAAGAACATACAAAGTCCAAAAGTCCCATTAATTCAGGTTTTATGACATGACCACATCTCATTCTTGTTATTTCAGACACTGAATGGGCTGAGTGAGGAATCGTCCACAGAGCATTTGGAGTTCCCTCTGCTGACTCAGCGCTCCCTGTCCTCCATCACCCAACTGGTGCCTTTCCTCCGCACCCTTTGCTGCTCCTTCCAGGGCTCGTCCCCCTGCAGCCCCTCTATGCCGCACTTCCCAGCAGCAGACTACCCACCATCCAATGCAGACACGGTCCTAAAGAGGCTGGAGTACATAATTGAAGAAGAGTTCCTGGACTCCGTGGAGAGTTAGAGCTGAAGCTTTCATAGACTAAGTCCTTTTCTTAAGCTCTTTAACCTGCAGCCATAAGAGGGACATTACGAAAATAGGCACAGTCGGTGATAACGTTGTAGTGTGAACTACAAAAAAAGGAAATATTTTGGAATTCTGCTTTTTAAATGTCTTATCTTTCTATCTCTCTCCACATACATAGGTGTACCTCTGAGGTGCTCTCATATTGTAATGCTTCTGTCTTTCTCAAGGACCAGTATCATCCTAATTGCAAATATTCACACATTAATATTGTGTCAGTGTCTACTCTTTGTTTTATATGGTTTTAGATGTATAATGTCAAAATAGTCTTAATGTAAACCAACTTCAAAAAAGGACATATTGTTATTATAATGCATGCACATACTGTAATAATAACTGTAGTTCCAGTCAATATTTTTTGTTTGATGCCAAAAAGCAGATTCCCTGTGAAAACCTCATTAAGCATTGTTAATGTGAATTTTTCCCAACGTGACGTTCTTACTAAATGTCTATCTGACTCTGAGAATGTAATGTACTGTATATATAACAGTGTATGGCTGCTGTTTTAGATGTACTTTCTCTCTGATCTTCATTGGATATGTCACTATTAGACCTTACAAACCTTTAGCGAAGATTCATGTTGAGAGTTATGAGTAAGTTACTGAATGTGATTTGTGTACACCATGAAAACCCTTTGAATTATGATTGGGTGTACCGTGCTAAAATACATGCTTGCCATGTTTGGAGTTCAAGGGAAATCAGCATTTCTTTGTAGTTGTTGGATGGATAGTTATACAACTGCCTGTTGTGTTTTTTTTCCGCAATGATGAATGCTAATGTAATTTATTTTGGATGTTTAAAGGACCATGTCAAGTTCTGAATTAACAGAAAGAAGACTCAATACATGAAATATTAAGTTTAAACACTGTGTTTTCACTTTACAAGGAAAGTTGCTTTTTTGTGTTGGAGAGTAATTGCTGACAGACTCAAAACTGAATTGATGTTTTGTTCCCTGATTCCCTCTGCCCACATGTTGCAGTGTCCGTGCTCAAGATGCTGAACACTGACCCCTTCTGCCTTATATTTAGTAACCATTTAGCAACCGGTTAAACATTGTGTTCAATGTCAAATCACTGCACACAGTCATCAGCACACCTTATGGCTTTGTCTAAATAAGGACAGGTGGAAACAATGTCCTTGAAATCCCTCTGGAGGAGCTTGAGAACGCTGCTGCAGAAATATGGACACTCAGTTGCTTAATCAGCTGGCATGACCTTGTAAAATAAATCATTGTCTTAGGCATGATAACTTAATATGCAACTGTAACAAACACATGTATATGAATGAGTAATGCACACTAAGCAGAGCAGAACTTGCCTATTTCTAACCAACAATCTGTCTAGTTAAGAAATGTCAATACTAAATAGCATATTCTGCACAAATCCATCCAGTGCCAGCACCATTCCCTTCTATCACTTGGCGGAGTACTAGTACTGACATAAATAATTAGTGCCAATTTGGAAACAAAATGGTTCCTCATTGATGGTGTTGGCTTTTGTAATATATATTATAAAAAAAAAACATTCCAGATAATAACCAAATCACTTATTTTCACTGGACTGTTATGAGCTGGAAGCTGTCATGAGTGGTGAGATGATGGACCTCCTCAACATGTTATTGTAGTGAGTAAGGCAAGGTAAGGTAAGGTAATAAAAACAAAAGACATTTAAGAACAAATACAGCATAAATACATTATTAAATGGCATTTAAAAACAGGCATAAAAAGCAAAGATAATGAAATAAAATAAATAAATAAACACAGCAGGTACAGAATACATGACTAAAAGGCATAGGCCTACTGTAGTGCGAGTATCAGCTCAATTGAAAGCAGCAGCAAATAGATGCGTTTGTAGTCTGGATTTAAAAATAGGAAGTGTTTCAGCGGACGTGCACGATTTGGGCAGTTTGTTCCAGATTGTTGGGGCATAATAACTAAAAGCTGCTTTTCCATGTTTAGTTGTTATTCTTGGAACAGAGAGCAGACCCGACCCAGAAGACCTGAGACTCCTGGATGCTTCATAGTGATGGAGGAGGTCGTCTATATACCTCGGTCCTAAGCCATTTAGTGATTTAAAAACTAGCAGTCGTATTTTAAAATCAATTCTTTGGTCGACTGGAAGCCAGTGTAATGATCTCAGAACCGGAGTGATGTGATCCACTTTTCTAGTGTCAGTGAGAACTCGAGCAGCAGCGTTCTGAATCAGCTGCAGCTTGTAGTTTAGTGACTGTTTAGTCTGTAAAGTGTCATTTGTAGTTCTATTTTGGAAAATGTCAAACCAGATGTGATCATAATACATGTAACATTAAATATTATGAACAACATACATGGTATTACTGATGCAGGAAGTAGCGATTTGACAAGTAGTTAACTGTTTAACTTAAGGTAGACTACTTATTTTGTACTGTATCTCTAATAAAAATGTTTTTATCAAGGAATTTGATTATGTCACATATTCAACTGTTTAATAATAATAATAATTTCGCTTTTATTTGATATTTTCGCCTTTCGTCCTTTTTGGTCGCTCAGGGCACCCATACCGTAATACCAAGAATATACCACTCTCAGAATCTGAAGGAGGCTCACGTGCTTATTATACATCCATGGCTCACGTTCACGAGCTCAAATTACCCCATCACAGTTTGTAATAGTGCGTGCCAAACAAACACCGCCCTACCGGTCCGGTGACATCCGTGTTTACCAAAATATGGCGGCGCAAGGAGACCGCGGTGTCCCGCTCAGTACAGTAAGTAAGGATTTACTTGGTTTTAATGTTGACAAACTGTGGCGTGAACTGCACCACTGCAGATATAGCTAAGAATATATACTATATATAATATATAGGTAACGTTAAAGAGCTCACGCCACGGTCTATGTTTATTGATATGTTTCAATATGCCATGATAACGGTCCGACTGCTCTTTGGTGGCATTTATTCCGTGTCAGCTAGCACAATTAAGATTAATTATTACTAGGTAAATGCAGTGGTGTTAAGTAAGTACATTTACTCGAGTACTGTAGTCTACGTGTACAATTTTCGAGGGACTAGTACTCTACTTGAGTATTTCATCTATGTTGCTACTTCCTACTTCTACCCCACTACAATTCAGAGGTAAATCTTGTACTTCTACTCCACTATATCTATTGAATACCTTTAGTTACTTTGCACATTTGGATTAATGATGTGAAACATATACAACCCTTAAAATACATTGTTTACACCTGGAGTAACCCTTACAAACTACCCTGCAGCATAAAGTAAATAAAACCAGCTGAGTTTTCACCAGCTGTTCAAACACATTAATGCATCAGTAATTGTAATAACAACATATACTATATGATTCTGTAATGGGCTAATGTGCACTTTCAGTTTTGGTACTTTAAGTATATTTTGATGCTAATACTTTTATACGTTTACTTGAGTAAGATTTTGAGTATGCCTTTTAGTTGTAACAGAGTATTCCTACATTTACTTAAGTACAATATCTGCATACTTCATTATTCCACTACTGACGGTTCTTTAACTCTACTGAAAACTATGAAACTGGTATTAACAATTATAACGTATTGATACTGATCGTTAAATGGCGCCAACGTCATTTTCATTTAATTGTTTATTTGAACCGGGACAGTGCACATTAATGAACATTTTAAACAAAATAATGTTTTTAAATGTAAATGAGCCGGATTTGAGCTTTGAGCTAGTTTCCATCCGTAGTCCCGTCACATACAACATTTATGAAGACTCACGTCACTCAATGTGTGTCATTTTAACACAAGGAAAGCAAAAACATTTCTTATTTCATTGTATATTTTGCCTTTATTTTTTATTGCTTGTTACACTGTGGGGCAAAATGTTAGTCAATACCACTACTATCACTAGAGTGCTACCCACACACTGCTGTGACCACATGTTATCAAACTAATTTCACTTTCACTTTCAATTCTCAGACACTGTAACTGAAAACTTGGGGGAAGAACTCAAGTAATTATAACATATAATGATACAAACACATATGTGTATAGCTATGAAATACATTCGTTTGAAAGATCAACAATAAATTAATGAATTGACAAGAGTTTTTTTAATAAATAGACTTGCAAGTAGTACGTATACAATTGTAAGAAAGTGTTTATTTATATTTAGGTGTATTTTAAAACCCTCATTCTCTGTTTTCATAAACTAGAAATATTTTATGTTCTTGCTGTAAATCAAAAAGACTCTGCCTGTGTGTAACTCACTTAACACGTTTTTTTTTTATTTAGCCTTTATTTATACAGGTGTAAAATCTCATTGAGACACAAGGTCTCATTTACAAGAGAGACCTGTCAGTGGTAACACTACCACACAAAGTTACAGACAGACAGGACACTAAACACAGAGGCAACAATAAAATACAACATCGTAAAAAAAAAAGTAGTCATTGAAATCCATATAAAGTATTCAGATATAGCAGGTGCAAACACCCACAGATGATTTCTCCAGCTTTTTTTAAATTAGTTTAAAATCCGTGATGGGTATCAAACTGGTCAGCTTAAGTTCCTGCTGAAGTGTTGTTGGAGCAGAACACCTCTGCTACGCGCCGTTCGTTGGATGAGGCTGGATCTCTATTAAATTAAGAAAGGAATTGAAAACACCGGAATCAAAGTTATAACAAATTATCTGAGTTTACTTCTAGTAGGAAACCAAACACATATACAAGTTATACAGAGTACTCGAGTACTCCGGGCTTCAGGTTTGTGACGCGGTTTACAGGTAGACAGACCAGCCTTCAGGAAACGAGAAGTACAGACTTCAGGTTTGGGATGCGGTTTACACGTCTCTAGACCAGCCTTCAGCAAACCAGAAGCATTTTTACACTCAAAAACATCAGTATTCATATCCATTTTTGGGGCGGAGATCAGTCGACTCTTCCTTCCCATTTTCCTCCCAAGCGAATCAGAGTTCCGTGAGGAGGAGCTGTGTAAGCTGATCACCTCCCCCAAGTGTCCTGACTGGCTGGATTCCCTTCTGGTCGAGTTCAATAGTTCGTCACCAGAATTTGGAATTCCAAAGTCCCCTAAGGTCAAAAGTCAACCTCTATCTTCACCCTATCTACTCTACATTCCCTTCCCCTGGGTTCTTCACATAAACCATCCCTTTTCAGACATTTAAACTTTTCTTCACCTATTTAACGATGTCTTTAACGACTTAAAAACAACATCTGGCTTTTAGGGGTGAAAAGGCCAAGTTGGTGTGTGTTGTGAAAACAGAATCTCTGGATCAGTGAGTTTGAAAGTAAGAATATCAGTTCTATATATATGATTACCCATAAACCGTTGTGATTACATAAAACAGTTCAAACAATACATGTTCACTAAAATACAATTCAAAATAATACATGTTTACTTCAATACAGTGTAGAATCATATCTTTTTACTTCAGTGTGTTCCAGGTCGAGGGGGCAGAGTATGATATGGCTTTTTTCCCAAGCACCGTGCGAACAAATAGTGACTGATAACTATTTTAGGAAACTTCTGCTATGCTCTTAAATAATGTTTGTGCACTGACCATCTGGGACACATTGATTAAATATGAAAATATGGATGTATGAATATAAGGCCGCTTATATGTAATCATAGTGTACTTTTTAATGTGCTTCCCTTGCAGCTTTGTCCCAAATATCTTCATGCCAATTCCACCAGCCACACCTGGCCCTTCAGCGCCATAGCTGAGCTTATCGGTGAGTCATCATCACATGATTTCTTCTCTGCTATTTGTTAAGTATGTTTAGTTGTCATTTTACTTAAAGATAAGATAAGAAGGATATTTGTTTATCCCTATTGTTGGGTTTCATTGAGATATCCATAGCATTAAAGGCTTGAAAATCTTTGTATTACTTTGCAGTACTCTATCTATTACTGTTAAATTACCTTGTAAGCTGCTGTAAAATGATAATAGGCCTGTTATATTCACACACACACACGTCATATCAAGTCAAAAAAATCGTATCCTCCATACATTTCTACTTCCCTTCATGTGGGAACTTCAATTGCTGGAGGTTGCCCCTTGTGGTGGGAATTTATTTATGAAATATGGATAAAGAGTCAAACCATTCAGCTGTCTTTCGAGGTGTTTTATTTCTTGCAAGAAAGTTCAGTCAGTCATACAGAGAGCATACTGTCTGCAGAGTGAAAGACGATATTTAAACACAGAGAGAGGAGAAAGGGACGGGTCAAGGTTGGCGATAATGAAAGGAGCATTCTGGGAGTTTAGGGAGGCAGTATCAGGATGTTTTCAGTTCAACAGAAGCTGCAATTCATACTGTTGGTGCACATGGAGTGTAACTAGCAACATTGCAACAAATCTTCTTATTAATGACTTTTCCCAAGCTTAGAAAATAAGTGAAAGCCAGTAAATAAAGATAAACATTAGCAAATAAGAATCACACAATGATAGTATTAAAGTAAGTAAGTGGGTATAATCGTTTTCTGTTACACCCCTAAAAAAAAACATTCTCTCGACAGACAATGCCTATGATCCAGATGTCAATGCCAAACAGTTCTGGATTGATAAGATTGTGGTCAAAAAGCAGGACTGCCTTAGCTTTATGGATAATGGATATGGACTGGACAAAGATAAAATACATAAGATGCTCAGGTAATTTGAAATGGCTCACCAAACGAATGTTGTACATGATACATTTATGTATAAACCATGCTGTTATTCATATACTCACTAAATAATTTATGCATTTTTCCCCCTTTAAGCTTTGGCTACAGTGACAAGACTCCTGTAAAAGGAGTAAAGCCGATTGGTATGTACGGCAACGGTTTCAAGTCTGGATCCATGCGCCTCGGCAAAGACGCCATCGTGTTTTCGAAGTCAAAGAGTGTGTCCTGCGTTGGGATGCTCTCTCAGACCTACCTGGGAAAGATTGGTGCTGACCAAATAATTGTTCCTATTGTATGCTTTGAACAGAAAGAAAAAACCCAGTATATCCTTTACCTGCTGCGTTAAGGCATATTGCTTCATGTAAACTATATGTAAATGGTGAAAATGAAATGCAAATCCCAGCATCTGATGGAATGGGTGCTAGATCAAATGTAACAGAAAAAGAACAAGAACAGATATATCCTAAACACTAAATAGCGTTATGAAATTTTGAGTGACAGCCGTATGCTCAAAATGTTACACAGCACTACAGCATTCCAATCCTTCAGACAAGAGTTGTAGAAAAATATTATGCAAATAGTTTGCTTAAAGTGGACCTATCATGCTATATTTGAATAATATATTGTAGGGCCATACCTATATAAAACATGTCTGTGAAGTTTTCTTTTCAAAATACCAAACAAATCATGCATTTTAGCCATGCCTCATTTTGCTCTATTTGCTCTTTTCCAGCCCTGTTTTTGCAAGGGCTGATTCTGTGAGAAGTGTTCTTCGCTGCTTTTGTGGCAGACGACAGCGCCACTTACAGGCCTGGCATATGTCTCCAGCGCTTTCGAGCGGCAATGGCCGTGGCCCAACCCCCCCATTCCCCTGATAGGTGGAGAGTTGCCCATATTACATTACATTACATGTTACTTGTTAGACGCTTTTATCCAAAGCGACTTACATACTCAATACTGTGGGCAATCCCCACAGGAGCAATTTGGGGTGAAGTGTCTTGCCCAGGGACACAACAACATGCTGACTGCAGTGGGGTTTGAACCTGTGACCATCTGATCCCCAGACCAAGGCTCTATCCACTGTGCCACACGCCTCCTCGATGGGCGGAGCACCCCTTTTCTGACCTCAGAAAAATTCAAATCTGTATCAGCTCCGTTGCAGCCCCGTTTTTAGAGATTTGGGTATGGAGGAAAAGAGAGAGGGTTGTGTTTTCTGACACTTGGTGAGTTCCCTGACACACCGGGGACACATATTCATGTATAAAAGACGTACAAAAGTGCATTTTGCATGATAGGTCTCCTTTAACATACAAATGTAATCATACACCAGATACGAATTTCCAATTGTCCTCATTTACGACGTTTTCCTTAACTTGGGCTATACTCAGTGTAAGAGAAGAACACAAGGCCAGTCTTCAGGACATCCTGTGCTATTCCCCATTCAACAAACTTGAAGAAATTCAGGCTGAGATCAACGCCATCAGTTCCAAAACCGGCACACGGATCATCATCTGGAATCTCCGCAGGTCTGTGGGTTCTTCACACACACAAACCTTTATGTTTTATTTCAGAAATCAAGGGCTAGTAGCTCCTGTACATGCCTGATCAGACTATATCAACTATTCTTATCTAGTCATCATTCATTTAAACAGGATCTATGAGGTAATAAAAAGTCACAGCTAGATGTTTGTATTAAAAAAAGTGTTTCACAACCATGTGTCCACTTTGGCTTTAAATCTGTTCCCAACTAACAGCAGCAGGGTTGTTACCTATCAACAATGAATAACGCTATAGTTCTGCATGTGATTTGCTGTTTGATGTCAGTTGTTAGTATTAGGGAGGCCCAATAACTCAAAGATTATGATAAAGACTGATCGCCCATGTATTTCTTTTATATTTTTAACAGTACATCTAGTAAACTATCAGAATTTGATTTTGAGAGGGACCGCTACGATATCCGAATACCATCTGAACTCGACGAGACAATGAAGGACGCTGCTCCAAAACCAGGTCCAAGTCAAGCGACCAAGTCAAACACCCCTGAGAGTGTTTCCTCACTGCGGGTAAGTAGCTGTTTTGTACATTTTATAGTGATACGTATACAAGCATGAAAACTGAGGCCAATTAGGGTACATTATGCAATTTACACGTAAAAAAAAATTGTCATGTAAAAAAATGCAAATCTTCCAGTTTACAAATAGTGAGAATGTATTTTTTAGTGGGTTAGGAGTTTTGAAAGAAAACTGGAAGAGTTATTTCTGTTTCAATTTTTTTACTGAGATCCAGTTTGAAGAAGGATTCTTATCTTAGCTTCAGAGTCAACACAGAGGATTGTGTTTAGGATTCATACTGCCAGGGAGTAAGGGACGACACACAAGGAGCTTTGTCTGCCTTCTCATTTGCATCCCGAGAACAGGGACAACACAATGTTTTGTGTGTTAACCAAATGGGAGGAGACAGACAAAACGCCAATACACAAATGAAAATTACGACTGGGAAATTCCAGGATGACTCTTTTTTTTTTTTTTTTTTCATTTAATCGTTTATTTGGAGAGGGACAGTGCACATTGATGAACATTTAAAACAAATAATGCTTTAAAAACGTAAACATGCCGGATTTGAGCTTTGAGCTAGTTTCCATCCGTAGTCCCTCACATACAACATTTAAGAACATGACATTTATATACATAGCAAAATAAATACATGATATGCAGAAAGAGCATGAGCAGCATATAAGCATTTACCACATGGCACCACAAGGCAGTACAATGTAGCAGCTACGACATATAAAGTGCAGGAGAAGATAAAAGGGCTACATAAAGTGCAAGAGAAGATACCCCTGTATTAAAGTGCATTTAGCGGTGATTGCACGTCTGTTTGTTTCTCAACCATTCTTTTAGTTGACCTTAAAACTGTTCAAAGTGGGACAATCCCGTAACTCAGTTGGGAGGCTATTCCACAATGAGCTGCCCTTAATTGATAGAACATTTTGACAGAAAGTGGTCCGTGTACGGTGGACCTCACAGTCTCCTCTGGTTTCTGACCTAGTGCAGCGTCCAGTGTGTTTTTTGTGGATGCATTCCCCTAAGGGAGGGGGTGCCAGTCCATGTAAACATTTATAAAAAAAACACATACTTTTAAAAGACTTAAAATTGTCAAAACTCAAGAAATTGTGTTTTTCAAGGATGGTACAGTGGTGATATGAATATGGCTTTCTGTCAAACACCTTGATAGCTCTCTTGTACAGCTGTTCTATGGGTTTCAGGTTTGTGGCACAAGCAAACGACCAGTTTGTAAAACAGTATTCAATGTGGGATAGAATCATACAGTGGAGGTATGACTTTGCAGCATTGACAGTTAAGAAAGGTCTAATTTGTTTCAAATGTTGCAAGTTGAATTTAACGGTATTGGATACTTTCTTGATATGTTTCTTAAAAGTCAAGTTCGAGTCCAGTATGACTCCAAGATACTTGAAGTGGGAGACTAGTTCTAATTCTGCTCCGTTTAAAAACACATTGGATCCTTCGATTTTGACTGGTCGTTTACTGAACATCATGCATACTGTTTTTTTTGCATTTAACTGTAAGCAAATGTTGTTCAGCCAGTGTTGAACCTTGTCCAAATTATTTGAGAGACAGGATGTGATTATTTCAGTATTTTTCCCGTGTACAAAGATGACCGCATCATCGGCATACATTTGTACATTCAAATCAGGACATACATTAGGCAAGTCATTAATGTACAGAGAAAACAGTAATGGTCCAAGAATGGAACCTTGTGGAACCCCAACAGGGTTCACAAGGTAGGGGGATTTGGTACCGTTGACCCAAACACACTGTTTTCTGTTTGATAAGTAAGATTTAACCCACTGTATTGAGGCCCAGGCCCCACGGGAACGAAAACGGGTTGTATCCGCATATTTCTCTTGCGTATAGCCCTTTTTGCCACACGACGCCGTAACGGAACGATAGAAACGGACCCTGCAAACGACAACGGGTCCAAAGGTGGATAGATCTGGGAACGGAGCGCTCTGGGGGGTCCAACGGCTCCGTGTGGCAGCCTATACGGTCATCATTTTCTGATAATGACGACGTAATAGCCCCGCCTCTCCCCACCTCTGCTGCTCACCCCCGCAAAAGTACACTGCACACTGAATTCAGATTATTTATCTTTCTCTTGATATGGACATAAACGCGAGTGAAGTCTAATCTGACAGGACGGAGACACGCAGCTCCTCCGGCTGTGATGCAGCGGGAGCAAAACACACACTTCAAGTCAGATCATCACCCTTAGCTATTTTAATTACCTCTCAAACTACCTAAACTAGTTATAAATATGTTTATTTTTACTGTTGAGTCACTCATTACTGGATCAGCTGCTGCATGAGACAGACACTGACGCTGTCAGAAGAGAGGAAAAAGAGACAGGCTCCGTGTATTTTATTATTATATATCATTATATGTAGTCGTTATTAATTTGTTAAATAACAAAGAAGACCTTTGACCGGCACTTTTATAATTTTGTCCGGAAGATTTCAACTTTAACACACGTTGACCGGCGAAAAACTCTGCGCGGTTCCCTCGGCCCCCACCCATGGATGTGCCCCCACCGCGGAGAATAAACAGAAGTGCAGCCATGACAACCATTCTTCTTCGCTGCTTTTGTGGAGGAAGTTGCTGCTTTTGTGGAGGAAGTTACAGCGCCACGTACAGGCTCGGCATATGTACTGCAGCTTTTCCAGCGGTTGGATCTAAACGGAGCTGTCTCGCGTGGGAAGACACTATCCGGTGTATATTGCGTGTGGGCGGAAGCTTTTTGGCGATTGCGTTAATCCTATGCGTTTTGCCGTATGCGTTCCCGTGGGGCCGGGTCCTGAATCTGCCGAAAAATTGAAATACGTCAGCTTTGTAAGGAGCACTTGGTGGTCAACAGTGTCAAAAGCCTTCCTGAGATCAACACAACACTTAGATTTAACATCTAAGTGTTGTAATTGTGATCTAAAGCAAGATTTATGGCACTCCTGCGATGTGTCACCCCAAATCAGCCCCGGCCTGACCCAAGCCCTGCCCCCAGGCCCCGCCTCCCTCTTTACAATCATTGTCGTATGTTTTTTCCTTATGTTTTTTTCCAATGAATACATTAAATGCTTTGACAATAAATATATACAAATATTTTATCTGTGGAAGCCGTGGCGCTGTAAAAAGCAAGTCCAATTATCTGCCTTGGCCCACGGCAGATAACTGGATGGCCTACCTGCCTGTCAGCCTTCCATCTCGTGCACAAACTTATCTTGTGCCCTCATTGGTCATGTGCGCGTTTGTGTGTGTTGGAGGAGGGGCTCTGTAAAGAAGTCTGAAGGAAAGGGCAGATTTTTTTCGGTTGTGTACTTTCAAATTCTAGCGCACTCAAGCTGGTTTCTCCATTCTTACCTACCCTACCTTTAATTTAGGTTTATAAAACATATTATTTTTCTTTTTAAAATCGTATAAGTAGGCAAATTGAATCCATTTAATTGTAGGTAATCTGTGTTGTGTCCAAGAGAAAAAGATTATTTCCTTAAAACCTGATACTGATTTTTGATATCTCTTCATTTGTATGAGGTTATAATTGTGTTTCTACTGTCCGCAGGCATATTGCAGTATTCTCTACTTGGAGCCTCGGATGCAGATCATCGTACGGGGTCAAAAGGTGAAATCTCAGCTCATTGCTAAGACACTGGCCTTCGTCAGAAAGGACCACTACAAGCCCACTTTCCTGGTATCCTATCTTCACAGAGAATAGATAATTGTGTATGATTTGGGAAATGGTTGTCTTGTCTTTGTCTTGTCACGTGTTTCTTGAGTTTCCCTTACATTTTATTTTAGACCAAACGCATTCCCATCACTTTTGGCTATAACACCAAAAGTAAAGACCAGTATGGCATTATGCTGTATCACAAGAATCGGCTCATCAAAGCCTATGAACGTGTAGGCTGCCAGCTCAAGGTGAGTTGGTGTTGTTTTGTGGAGCGTGTTTGTATATTACACATTTTCAAGGGTTTCTAAATGTCATCATCTGGTATTCATGTTTCTGAACCGTTGCCTTCTGTAGGCCAACAACAAAGGTGTTGGGGTCATTGGGATCATAGAGTGTTTCTTTCTGGAACCTACCCACAACAAACAGAGCTTTGATGAGACAGATAAGTACAGGTAATGCTATCAATTCTGTTTTGATTATATCGGTACGATTAAGGCCCAGGAATACAGAAATCTGAAGTATTCATTTATTTTTATAGGAAAACAATGAACAGCTTGGGGGTCAAACTGGAGGAGTACTGGAATGAAATAAACTACAAGAAAAAACAAGAGAATCCAAACAGCACCATACCCATGGAAGATACCACGTTAGTACATTTTGCAGGGACTATCATCGTGTATTCTGCACGTTTATTTGTCTAGCAATGTTTGCTTCCTACATGCTCTGATACTTGTCTCTTTCTTTGTCCTTAGGAAGCGACCGGATCAAAACTGGGTGATGTGTGATGAGTGTTTGCACTGGCGCAAACTCCCTGATGGGATCGACACCGACAAGCTGCCAGAGAAATGGTCCTGCCATTTGAACCCGGATCCGCAGTTCAGGTAACTAGAGCATTCTCCAAAACCCAGTTGCAATGATAATAAGCTTCTGTGATAAATAAACTAATATACATTTCTTTCCACATCTCCTTTTTTTTAAATGCCAAGTTATACTCCATAAAAGTATGTCTAGATCTACACACACGCCTGTGGATACATCAGATACTAGAGCCACTAACAAACCTCGAAACATAAACAGATGTTTTTCAAATGATTAAATCACAATAATCATACTATTGACTCCAAATTGATCTCCAGGTGCAGATTGACTGTCTGTTTATAGCTGTAATAACTCGTTTATAATACTAGTTAAGCCAGATAAGCAGGGACATTGCTGGACTACTGAGCGCTGCCTAATCAAGACAGTTTGGTTAGGAGTCAAATGTGAAATGGCTGAGTTATAGGTCAAAACATCATTTAAGGCAAGGCACGTTTATTTATATAGCACATTTCAACACAAGGCAATTCAAAGTGCTTTACAAAAATGAAAGACATTAAGAGCATTAAGAAACATATTATAAAATGGCATTTAAAAACACTCATTTAAAAGCAAAGATACATGAATAAAAGTTACAGTGCCGTGTGAGATACACACATCTGAAATGTTTAGGTCTGACTCTCAATCATTGATAACTTTTTAGCAGAAATAGTTTTCTATGACCTCCCTTTCTTTCCTCTTTCTTGTTTAACTTGTCCTTTAGTTATTTCAAGTGTTTCATGCTAAACGAACCCCCCTTTGGAAAATTCTAATCTGACCCCATGGTACCTTTTAGTTTTCGCCAAAACTATTCCTCTTTTTTTAAATGCACATAGTTAAGTTTACCTTGTCTTTCTTGGACTTTTTTGGTATCCTCCGTGAACCAGGGTCTTGAAACCAAAACGAATTCCTGTACCCCATGGTACCTTTTTAGTTTTCGCCAGTTTTTTTAAATGCACATTAATTAAGTTTAAGTTGTCTTTTCTATTTAACATGAATCTCAGTCTTCCACAGAAATACTACTCCAACTTTTGCCACATTGTTCTTTGATTTGAAATGAGAAGCATCTTAATTTTCTCTCCCAGGAACTGCCATGCAGAACAGGAGCCTGTGGACTCAGATGACGATCTGCAACCTTCATACCGCAAGACGTATAAAGTAAAGTGAGTCCCTATGTTAATTTTTGACACTGCCCAAAAAGGTCATTTAGTGCTCGGACTCAAAATGAATTGCATATTGTTGTGAAATCAATCACACCCTAAATGTTTCTGAGGTTCGTATCTTTATCCTCATCTGTAATCGACTGGCCGACTTTCTGATCATATATTTTGTATTAATCTGCCAACATTTTCTTTAATACATTATGTAAGCATAATAAAGGAAGTGACTTGCCTTGCCTAACCTGTGCTTGTGTATTATCTACAGAGAAAGGGAAGACATGAGGATCCAAGAGCAAAAGGTAAGGACGCAACCTATGCTGTAATTCACCTGTTTCCTCCACATGGTACCAAGTTGGGTATAACAAGTTATTTTAATGATAGTATTTGTTTCAAATTATTTAAAAGTACAGATTTATCTAATAGCACTAAAATATAGATTTATTTTTCTAGGAAGAGGAGGCTCTAAAGCACCTGGAAGCGCTGCGTTTGGCTGATCTCGCCAAGCAGAAAAAGGCCCAAATACAACTGCCGGTTGGGATAGACGACTAACTGTGATGTAATTTTACTGAAGAAACCGTTCGTGTTTAACTGTCTACGTTTTTATTTTTGTTGTTCTTGTTGACAGGTTGTGGCTTCCACACCTACTACCCCAAAGAGTAGGTTTAACAACATGTTGCCCCAAGGGGGGGCTGCGAGAGCTCTCTCCACTCCACTGAGGTCTTCCCCCCTTTCACAAGTTGGTATGTGTGTCTGCGTTCGGTGTTATGTGTGTGAAAGAGAGAGAGAGAAAACGTTTTAGAGATTTAAAAATATCTGTTTTATTTCTCTCTAGCTTGCAGCCCTTCAAGTAGCAGGGATCTTCCATATATATCCAGTGTTTACTCACTGGCAAAGCTCACCCAGAGGTAGTTTTTATCTGCTGTTTACAAGCATAAATGTATCCATGTGACTTTGTTTAAGAAGCATTCTAATTGTGCTTTGTGTGCACAGCAGGGGGAAAAGAACCCAGCCTGCTTCTCTACAAATAACCCCCAAAAGACCGAGACAGAATGGCTTCCATCAGGGCGAATTAGACACATCAACATCAGTGAATGTGAGCCCACTGAGCTCCCCATCAGTTCTCATTGATAACAACAATGATGAGAATACTGATGATGACATATGCATCTTGGAGACGGTCAGTACCCCCAAGCCAAAACATCTGCCTGTCAACTTGACTAAAGTGAAGACCGAGGCGGAGCAAAGTGATGCTGACGTGGGCATGCTGATGGAGTGCAGCGATGATGCTGCTTTGGATAACGGCCCAGAGATAAATGCTGCGGGAACGAGCTCCTCAGCGTCTGCAGCTGTGGGAACCAGTACCTCCACAGCACCCCCCACAGGGGTGTCCACCAGCACCACCCAAACAGATGTACGCAAGATGAAGAAGGAAGAGGAGGACCAAATTCCAACTGAAGAGGAGGAGAGAGTGGGGCTGAGTACATCTAATATAACAAAGCCTTCAGGTGTCTGCAGTGTGGAGCAGAGTGTAAGGAAGGAAGCGAGCAGTGGAGATGCTCATTGTGAGAATCAAGGAGAGCTGCCCTTGCAGAATGGAGTGACACATCATGAAGATGGTGAGGAAGAAGCTGGACCTTCCTGGGCTCAAAGAGACTCTCCACATCCCCACCCCAGTGTGATTGAGGCACAGGGACAGCAGGACCAGCTTCTAGAGCTTATGCAGGAAATCGCTCAGGAGAGAGACTCCTTTAAAGAGCAGGTGCACAGTCTTACCTGCCGACTGCACGACACACAGAGCAGACCGCAGGAGCTGATCAGTGTGAAGAAGAAGAGCTCCAACCAGGCCAGCCAGACGGAGGAATCTGAGGAGAAGGACTACAAAGATCTGTTTGAGAAGGCCAAACAGAAAGTGGAAGAACTTATTAAGGAAAAGGTTTCACTGGAAGCCACCAAACACAGTACTGCCAAATGTGAGGAAAAGGACATTGACGAGATTGCTATGCAAGTTGACTGTCTGATGCGACAGCTGGATGAAAGACAAAAGGAGAATGATGAACTGCGCTCACAGGTCAGTGTTACAGCTGTATATGCAGTGTAGCGTACAACAGTGGTTCCCAACCACTGGTACAGAGACCCCTAGGGGTACTTGCAGGTACATTCATCGCCAAATAAATAAATAACTTTTGTCTTGCATGAATACAGAAAATAACATTTCTTTTCAAATATGACGGATAAAAGTGACTGTTCAGAGGGGAGGGGTCTTCTCCTTAAAAAATACATGATTGGCTTCCTAAATAAGTAGTGAGTCTTAACATAATTGTTTTACCTGACAACAAGTGTACATTTCAAGTTTAAATGCATTTGTATTGAATGTGAGTTATTCAAGTGATTTTCATTCAGGAGCAGTTGGGTTAAACACGATAACAAAGGGTTTAATACAAGAAAGAATGTAGGCAAATTATAACAGATGAGTGAGGGGGTACTTATAGAATGGCGACCAGCTCAAGGGGTACACGAGACAACAATCGTTGGGAACCACTGGCGTACAAGACTGGTGTTACGCTTTATTTTCAACAAATCCCATAAAAAGACCAAAGCCAACAGTGTCACATGTCTTTATTACTTCCTCTGCCTAACTCTTCTCCCCTAAGCCAATCTCTGCTTACTGAAGATGTCAAATTACACAATTTTTCATAATAATACCAACAATGCTAAATCATTTCCTATAATGGCACTGTAGTTTAGTTATTTATTCCACATGCGTTAAAAATCGGCCTCTCTTCTTTTACCTTAGACAGATTATGATAAATCAAACCTATATCGACAAGCATATTGTTTTTTGTTGTTGTTGTCTTTTGTTACATTTAATTTCTCAATAATATACCCTTTATTTGCTAGCCCGTGTAGATATTTGTGTACCTTTGTGTAATTGATGTTGACCTGCCTTCTTTGATAATGTTCTTTTCTCCTGGGGTTCGCTCACTAGTTGACCAGTCTGGATGAGGAAAAGGCCAACCTGGTATCCCAGTGGGAGGAGTTCAGGTTGAGCCTGCAGCAGGAGAAGGATAACGCACAAGAGAGCAGTACAACTCCACACAGAGCCTCTGATTCCACCGTACACACAGATCCAGAGGAGGCAGGAGAGGCATCTACCTCTGGCACACACTCAAGCTCACACTCAAGCTCGGAAACATCCAGAAGGTTAGATTGATAGATGATCAATACCTGATTTATCGGATTCCTGAACTCAGCAGCCGTAGAATAATGACGTATTCTGTTTTTTTGTTTTGTTTCTCCCCTCCCTCAGTTTGATTGAGCTGAGGCACAACGTCGGGCGCCTTCTCCTCTCCTACGTGCCATTGGAACTGGACCAGGTCAATTACGAGTGCAATGTCATTGATGAGATCCTAGAACAGGTGCTCTCTAATGGGGTGTCTGTTGCACCAAGAGACGGAGCAACAAATGAATAAACAAATCATCAGGACTTTGAATTAGGTGCCACACTCCACCTGTAAATCATTGATACTGCTTCCTGTGAGTGGGGGAAATTCCGTTGTATTTATTTTAAGGGTTATAGATGTAATTTGTACAGTTTTTTTGATGATAGTGAATTTAACATTATACACGGCTAAACAATTTTTTTCTTTTCTTATTAAAGCAATATAACAAATGCAATCACTATACAATAATGAATGTAATAAGCCTTTGTTTTTAAGTTTCTGTGTAAAATCCTGGAATTTCACAGTTTCCTTCATATTTCTAAAAACTTCCTGATGTTGTTTTAAATAATAGCAGGCTGTTTCCTGTTAAGTTTGAATTGAAGCATACTCTTTTTTGTATTCCTGTCAAATATATATTTTTTATATATGCTGCCCTTGCTCTGTGATGACATTTTCTTTCAAACCTTATCATTGGGGTCCTTCTCAATCCTTCTGATTATCAAGAATGATCCAGAACCTTCACTTATTACTTCTTAACAAGTTTCGCTTGCTTGAATTTTTTTTAAATGCGACAATGGAATAATACATTTCCTTTTTGGTTAAATGTATAAATGTGTGCTTCAGTCGTTGAACAAAAAGTAAAATGGTAGTGGCACACATGTCCCCTCACACATACTTTACCTCCAACTACATACTACAGGTTTAAAAAGAACAACAATTGTGTGCTTTAGTTGATATACATCATTTGTGAATAAGAATTTGATCATGGGAAGGGCATAAGTTAATAAGAGTAATTCAGGGTAGAGTAAAGATTTTAACACATGTAAATGTTTGACCTAAAAAAGTTGTATATTATAGAAAGTAAAATACAGAAAACAAATGAAATAAACAAAAAACCACAATGTCAAATACACTAAAGGGGTTGCACATATTATCTTGACAGTGTTTATGTAGTGCTTTATTTATTTGTGACATAATTACATTTGGATTTTTGGATATGATATTTGCATAAAATAATGATTATGTTATATCTTATATAAAGAATAAGTTAATAAGTAATAATAATAGAACATTCTTTGAAGCTAAAAAAGGTAAACACCATTCTAAACTGATATTACGGTAATGCGGCCAGACAGTCCCCGCCTCTTCCGCGTTTTCGTCCAATCACTGCAGCTCCCTCGGCCGGAAGTTTTGAACGGATCATACGCGGGAAATTACTTTTCGCTTCAGCTGGACAACAGAGGAGGTAAGACTGTACTTTACTTTGAGATAACTTCAAATAAACACAAGGATAATGTATAAACGTATGTAACTCAGCTGTTACTGTAACCAACCTTCACACGTATGTAAACGCTTACCCAATTTTGTCATTTGTATGCAATGTTAGTTAGACGTCATCCCAACAAACCCGCTAAATGTAGTGCTAACACTAAAAGCTAGTTAGCATTCGTTTTCAGTGACTTAAGTTCTTCTGTAACCCGTAACAAGGGCTCTATATTGCCAAGTATGTAGAGATATATTATGCAACTTCAGCCCGTTAGAAACTTTTAAAGGTATCACATTTAATACTTGCATGTGTTTTCCTCCTGAGGTCAGTCATTCATATACAAAATGAAGGTGGTTACGTGTGAGATTGCATGGCACAACAAGGAGCCAGTCTACAGTCTGGACTTCCAGCACAGCCCGGATGGTCGCATTTGTCGGCTGGCCACAGCTGGAGTGGACACCACAGTCAGAGTGAGTGCACAGTGATGGACAAATAACATACTAGTCCGACCAAGACTCACTATATTGACCCGGTGATGTAAATCCGTGCCTATGCGTTTGTCTGGCATAAGGCAAAGCAAATGTCACTTTAAATATGTGCATGCATTGGGCAGATGGGCAGATGTGCAGACCCAAAGAAGGGAGTTTTCACATTGTGTTAAAGGAAACATCATGTACCATTGCTGGTGGTTTCTGACAGAATATAATAATCTTGCATCTTCATATTGACATACCTAACATGAAACAGTGCTTAGTACAGCTTTTTAGATATGCAAACTGTTATTCCTGCAAACCATATCCCACCAAACAAACATCAATGGGTATGCTAAGAAAGCAAATCTACCATGTGTAATTAAAAAGTAGGTTTCTAATCAAATTGTATTATATCTTAAGACATGTTGTCCTCATACTCCCATTTTTTTATGGGAGTTTTATGATTGAAAATGTAATGAATTGGTACATTTTCTGTATTTACTTGCAGCTGTGATGTACAAGGTCGCAGTCCTTTACAGACAACATGTTTAACTGTTTTGTTCTCATGTTGATGCAGCTGTGGCGGGTGGACATGGGCCCTGACGGGAAGGCAGTGGTGGACTTTCTGTCTAATCTGACCAGACATACCAAGGCTGTGAACGTTGTGCGCTTCAGCCCCAATGGAGAGCTGCTGGCCTCAGGAGGAGATGGTTGGTCTCACATTATACAAAGACACTAGGTTTAATTTGTATTGTAATTCTCAAATAAGAACAGAAGATTTCAAATCAATGGCCTTCAGTAATTCTAGCATGTTTTTTTGCTTTGTTGCTACAGATGCAGCGATTCTGCTGTGGAAGCTCAACGACTCTAAAGAGCCCGAGCCGATACCCATGTTCCAGGAGGATGAGGATGCTCTGCTCAACAAAGAGAGCTGGACTGTGGTCAAGACTTTAAGGTATGCTACTCTGGCAGTAACCATATCAGCGGATATTAAAATATCCCTGTTAATATTGTGAAGTTCATTTAAACAAACATTTTTGCCACACTTTGCATTTGTTTTGCTGGGGGAAACGTGTTACATTTTCTTTGTCTGTTTTTTTTTGTTGTATAATTGTATTTATTTAATAAAAGGTGCAGCAACCATAGTTAGACTATTTTGTAGAGAAACTGTAATTCTACTTTTCACTTTGAAATTGTCCGATTGACAGGATAAAATGAATTTAACCACGGTAGACAAAATCTTGCCCTGCAGATTTATAAGCCACAATGCAGAGATTTTGGTAATAGATCCTTATTTAATTGGTTAAATTATTAAGAGTTTGGAGATCTACTTGTTTGATCTATTTGCTATCTGATAGGTGTAGACGTGTAGCAGCAGTATGGATATACAAAGGGATTTCTCATCATTTAATGTGTCTTTAGGGGTCACATAGAGGATGTGTATGACATCTGCTGGACACGGGACGCAAGCTCCATGATCTCCGGGTCTGTTGACAACACGGCTATTATGTGGGACATCAACAAAGGTTTGCTTTGACTCATAAATATCTGTGTATTCCTTTCAGTTTCATCTGTTATATTTTGGATTTCAGTAACAAATCCATGATCATATTTAAGTGTAAGATTACATATTATTTTGCGTCTGTATTTATGCGTTGCAACTGTTTTATGTGTTCAGGAACGAAGCTGTCCATCTTGAATGACCATAAGAGTTACGTGCAGGGGGTGACCTGGGATCCTCTGGGGCAATATGTAGCCACTCTCAGCTGTGACAGGTACAACAACATGGATCCAGACCCCTCATGGTCTCATTATGCGGCTAATCTACATGAAATGAATGTATTTGATGTTAGCCACTAGTCACGTTTGATACCTAAGATATTTTTGTCTGTCCTCCTCTTCAGAGTGATGCGTGTGTACAGCACTCACACCAAGAAGAAAGCCTTCTGCATCAGTAAGATGAGCTCTGGGCCTCTCGCAGAGGGAGAGGTCAGTACAAATGTTCCTTTTCATGATGCTCTGTTGAGTCACGAATTGTTTTACATGTGACTAAGGTCTATAATTAGCCATATACTACACTTAACATTGTCTGTCATTTTAAATACTTTGTAATATTGTCAGAGAGCCACTCTATTTCTCACTATTTCTATTTTATTTGTATTTACTTGCACATCTCAAAACATTCTCTTGCACTATTTTATCTGTTTTATGTCCTATATATACGTTGGACTGTTGGAGGAGCCTGTGACTTAAGTTTTTCTTTGCCATATCTACACTGTAGCTACTGTGCATAGGACAATAAAGCCTTGAATCTTGAGAGAAAAAACTCTGTGAGGCAAGCAACACACTCAGTCCTGCATTTCTCTCAATGTTCGCAGGTGAAGCAGCACAGAATGTTCCATGACGACAGCATGAGGTCGTTTTTCCGTCGTCTTTCTTTCACACCAGATGGGTCTTTCTTGCTCGCCCCAGGTACCTAGATAGCTTGCTCAAACTGTGGTTCTAGCTGGCATTTACCAGGTGAATTTTTATTGTTGTAGAATCCAAATGAACATAGCTTACATGTTGTCAACCTTTTTGACCTCAGCTGGGTGCGTGGAGATTGGAGAAAACATCATAAATACCACCTACATCTTTTCCAGGAAGAGTCTCAAGAGGTAACTTTTGTGACATGCAATGGTATACTTAGTTTTTCTACGCAATGTTGTCAATTATTGCTGATGCACAAACCTCTGTCTGTGTGTTTTAGGCCTATCGCACACTTGCCATGTCCGTCTAAAGCTACACTGGCTGTGCGATGCTGCCCCGTCTACTTTGAACTGAGGACCAAGACGCTAGAAGGCAAGACCGTGTGACAGTTAACAAGCTGGAAGGATTATGAAGCCCTCACTGCTTTATTGTCTTTACCCTTAATGTTTTACTTGTCTGTGTTGTTTATTCTTCCTCCATTTCTCCTCTGCAGATGGTACAGTTCAGACTCTTCCCAACGTCTTCCAGTTGCCGTACCGCATGGTGTTCGCTGTGGCGTCTGAGGACTCCATCTACCTGTATGACACGCAGCAGACCCTTCCCTTCGGCCTGGTGTCAAACATCCACTACCACACACTCAGCGACCTCACATGGTAAACCAGGGATCACTTCTATTGGCCATTAGCGTTCTTGCAAAGCTTTACATCTTTTTCAACATTTGTGGGAATGAGCATGTATTTGATAAGAATGTATACTTACTAAAACATATGTAGGAAGATAACGTCCTCTTTATAAGCTTTAATTGGTCAACTTTTTATACAGCTGGTTAATAGGCACAACACGTCAAGTCACCTAAATGGGTTGGGGGGAATAAGCATAACGCTTCAGCCTTAGATCATTTCAAAATATGTTTCAACCATGTTTAAGCCCTCCACCTACTGACATGTTTTCATATTATCTCCTCTTTAGGTCCCGGGACGGCTCCTTCCTGGCGGTGTCCTCCACAGACGGCTACTGCTCCTTCCTCTCCTTCTCTCCTGGGGAGCTGGGCACTGCGCTGAAGGAGCCCCCCACCCTGGAGATCTTTACACCAAGCACTGCTACTGAGAAAAAGGGCAAGAAGTCGGCAGCTGCTAGAAACTCGTCTCCCCAGACCCCCACATCCCAAACCATCATCAGCAAAGTCACCCCTCTCACCCCTGTCACCCCCCTCACCCCTGTCACCCCCCCAGAGGAGAAGAAGAGCACCCCGAGTGCCAAGTCCAAACCTCAGCCCCGAAGAATCACCCTGAACACCCTGCAGGGCTGGGGGAAGCCCTCCTCCCCTAAAACCACAGCTCCCCCAGCCCCTCAGACCCCAACGTCTGAGAGCTCCAGCGCACCCTCCACTCCCCAGGCTCGCATCGCCCCTCTCACCCCGACCCAGTCCTCCTCAACACATCCACGTCTTACCCCTCTCACCCCTACCAATTCGTCCACAACACAGCCCCGCATCTCCCCCCTCACTCCCTCCACCCCTAAGGCCAGTGGTAATAACGCTGGGCAAACGACTCCTAAAGGTACCACCACCCCAAAGGGGCCCACCCCAAGGTAATTGCAAAAGGAGGTATTAGGTATGATTTGTCCAGAGTTGGCAAATATAAATTAGTTTATTATTATACCAATGAAAGTGTGAACATTTTTATTTCCACACTTATGCTTTGATCATCGACAGGTAGGCTTTTTAATGGACAAAATGGCAGGAATATGTGTGTGTAGTAGGGCTGCAAATCATGATGATTTATCAATACTTTAATTTATAATATTTCAAGGTTTAATTGAAACTTCGGAGTTGGTTCTTCCGTAGCCCACGCTTAAGCCTTCCACTAAGTTTTATAAAAACCAGTAGTCTTTAATTTAATCCTGCTGACAAAACAACAAACACATCCAAGTGCATAACCACCTTGTCTCAGGTAATAATGATAAATCAAAATTCACAATTAACTCGTGTTAATCAATAAATGTAAAGACATTATTCTTGGGTTAGGAACAAGATATACATACGTTTTACATAATCATTAGTAAATAAGTAAACCTTTAAAAAAAATAAAAATATCAAAATACCTTATTGTAAAGGAATAAGAACCAATCGGGTCAATGCATTTCTCTTGCATGGCTTTCTGATCTGAACCCCACAGGGAGACTGTTAAGTGAACCATGTATTACTGATATACAGTGGAGAAAAAACTAATACGAAAGATGTTTAACTAAATCTTAAATTGGACAGGAAGCAGGCGTAGTGAACCAATCAGTGAGTTTATAGGGAAAGCTGTTACGTTTGGTTAGTATTTAAGCCAAAGAGTAAATGTAAAATAATGTATTTCACAGCAAGAACCTAAACGTTTCCTCTCAGAGTATGTACCTCTGTTACGATGCACTGCATGGTGTGAAGAAGGCAGGTGCTGCTTCGAAACACAAGTGCTTATGGTAATTTATGGAAATCCTTGAACTATTCAAATGTGACTAGCATCAGACTTTAAGAATGAACTACAGAGAGCATTCTGCATCCCCCTCCCTCCCCCTGATGATCAAAGCTGATTATCTCTTAAGATGCCGTCTACAAATGACTACTAAACGTCAGAAAGCACTGTGATGTTTAGAAAGTGTAAAATGCTATTTTTATATAATATACTTTAACAAATGCAGGATCAATTAGGAAGGCTGTAATGGGCTTGTGATGTTTTCCTCTGTTTACATGCTCAGTACGGGCTGTGAGAACAAAGCCCTGTCTGGTATGGGGGATCCGTTGGACCCCCCACTGACTATAAAATAATAATCACTCTGACAGACTGCGTGTAGACAAAGGCAGGCCTGCACATGCTTTTGTATTTGCCTTTTATCTGTAACTTTGAGCGTTCGCCTTGGCTAGTTTTGACTAGTTGGCAAGGACTGGATAAGTAGAACATAGAGACATGAAGCAGAGCAGTGATTGACTTTGTTCACTTCAAGAGTAAAAGTCGTTGTACTTTGTTGTGTTTTCTCACGCTCGAAGCCTCTATAACATTTGTGCTTTTTCCATTTGTTTCAGGAGGGTATCTTTGACTACAGTTGCATCCCGATCTCCAGCTGTTAGTTCACTCTTCCGCACTCCCTCCTCCACTGAGAAGGCCAAACACGGTGAGTGAGGGTGATACTCTGACTACCTTAATGATGCAAGTATGAGGCTGATGTCTCATAAATCCCCCTCCCTCATTGACAGCGTCACAACTTGACCTCTGTTGTGCTTAGGAATGCACCAACCACCTGTACCTCTCCTGGTACCGAGTCAGAAACCTCAACACAGGATGTTTTTTAGTATTTCTTGCTGCAGCAAACTCCTTATAATAATTTGTATGTGAGATAGCAGTCTCTCTCTTCAGATAAATGTAAATCAGTGCATCCCTATTTTTGATCAGTGTATATTTGCAGAAACTGTGTTAAATCCAACCCTTTAATGACATTTGCTATATGTATTATTTCTAGAGCTTAAAACGTACCCTCAACAATATTACTGTTGCTATTTGGCTTATTTTTGTAGGTTTGACTTTTCCATTGGGTATGATAAACTTGCTGTACTGGTCAGAGTAATTGCTAAGATTTGGGAACAAAGTTGTTAACAAACCAATGGCCTGACCACGCAAACCACTTTGCTTAGAGGTCAAACTGAAAGTAAACAGACAACAAATTATTATTCATTGGACAGGAAAATTGTGTTTGTGCTTTGGCAAGTACAGCAGACAGAATGGAATAAAAAATATACCATTTGATTTTGTTTCTTTTTTGAATAATTTCAACTAAACTGGGGCTTGTTTAAATTCTGTATAATCACCTGACTTACCATGCTGACTTGCCCGGTGCAATAAATAGCCAACAATAAAAAATAAGTACCAACAACTAGTAAGGGGGAATTCACGTCATGCCCTGTCTCCTGCATTTTAATGATTAGTGTGTTTACTAGTCAGTCTATTTCAGGTGTAACCCTGTCACTAAACCTTTCTGTTGCATTTCTCCAGAACGCCCTTCTCCTACCAACGATCCGGTGTGCCAGCCTCCAGAGCCAAAACGGTCCAAGACCAGTGAGCCGGCAGCGAAGAGCAGTGCCACCCAGACTTAATGTGTGATACAGTGATTTCAGAAAAGATTAAAAACTGCAGAGGGAGACGCTTCAGTGTAAAAACAATGATGTTCCTCGTGGATGAAGCACCACCGTGTGTGGGTTGCTTGTACTTCCTTAAAAAGCTGTATCCTCACATAATGTACTTGGTTATAAAACAAACTGTCTTTTGTATTAATACTTATTTTTATTGTGTATTTTTGTATCATACATTAACAATGTTTTTTTTTTTTACATTTAGATGCTTAAGTGAAAAAAAAGAGTTCTGTTTTACTTATTTTAAATAATGTGATTGTTAAACTGCTGAAAACCTGGAGAAGAAGAAAGAACCACTTCAAGGTTTAGTGCCTTGTGAAAAACGATAAAAAAGTAAAGTCTTATTTAGCTGAAGACTGCGGGCCAGCAGCTTAAGTGAAGAGCTCAAATTGTTAAGTCTTTTCTCATTGTCTAATAAAGGACGTTTCATAAATGTTGCCTCTAAGTGTTTTTCAGTGTTTTTCAGTACAAGGCTGTGGGATGATTCGTGCTTTTCCAACTACAAGCTGCTGATGGTTATGAAAAAATGTTCACTTGTGAAAAGTATGTCTTTGTGTTCGACCAAACTGATTGTGTGCACCAGGATAATGCAGGGTTAATGTTGCTGGGTAGATGTTCATCAATGATGTATTTTGGACTGTAACCAGGATTTTATTTGTATTATCAAAACCTAAACAAAATGAGACCATGTTAAACATATTGGGATTTACACAAAATATAAGGATTATCCAGGAAATTACCAATCCCATGCATTTCCTCTTGTAGAACTATAACCACTGAATCCCCTAAATTCAGAGCATGGGATTTATGTGTATTATAGTATTACATGGTTACTTTAGTGCAGTCTTAACTTGGTTTCACTGTTCAATACATTTTAATGCAAAGTGTCAAACAGACTTGCTTCATTTTCTACTTTTTAAAACAAAATGCTATCTATATATTAAGTGCAAAAAGCTACATCTAATGCTCAGTCATCGGAGTACACATGTCTCATAAGCTTTCAATGCTCATGGATATATTTAGATAACTTATTATCAATGCATCCTGTGTTTGCAAGTATTTTTGTATAGCAGTTATAACTAAGTTATTTCGGTATATATGATTAATTATAACATTCCGAATGATTAGATAACACTTAAAGGTGGGGTAGGTAAGTTTGAGAAACCGGCTCGAGATACACTTTTTGTTATATTCCATGGAATGCTCTTAACATCCCGATAGCAATGAATATCTTAAGTGCTTTGACAAAAAATCCATAAAAAAATGTCATCTGTGGAAGCCGTAGTACTGTAAAAAGCACGAGCAATCATTTTAGCCGGCCAGGCTAAAATAACTGGATGGCCTCCCTGCCTGTCAGCCTTCCATCTGTGCACAAACTTATCTCGTGCCCTCATTGGTCATGTGCGCGTTCGTGTGTGTTGGAGGAGGGGCTCTGTAAGGAAGTGGCAGATTTTTTCCGGCTGTTATTTTCCAATTCTAGCGATCTCGAGCTGGTTTCTCCAAAATTACCTACCCCACCTTTAAAGACAAACATGATGGTCAATACAAGACAGAAACAGGAAAGTCATGCGATCAATTACAAACAAGGTCTTGATGTTGCCTTGAATGGTTGAAGGATTTACTGTGGTCCGACTCAGAAATATATGGCACATTCAATGAATACAATCAAAATAATTGTTTCTGAAGATCAACTATCTTCGGATGTAATGTTATCCTCTTCTTATGCATTTGTAACACTTTATACATTTGCTGCTGTTGTTGAGCTTTTATATATCCTTTTGTGAAATAAAAAAAGTAATAACCAGTATGTTTATTACAGTATTGATACAATACACAGTGGGTTCTATGTTCTGTATGATGGGTGTATTATATTTGTAGCAAGTGAAGCAAATTCTAGTACTGGCATCGTGTGAGAGCAACCTACCTTGCTGCACTGGGAAGAAAACTAATTTCAATGGCAGCTCTGTCAGCCAATCACATGCCGTCTGGCAGATTCTCTTTAAAGCTTCTGCTAATAGCCTTTGTGTGAAGGCGGGGAAAACTCGTCTCGGTTAGTCTGCTGATTAGCAACAAACAGAAGGTTACGAGTTTAGAAAAATAGAGAATTTCACCGACATACTGGCTTTGCGGCACCGAGAGAGCTACTAACTAAGTCGGGTGTCTAACCGGAGCTTGTTGGGTCGCTTTTGAGGAGATTGAATCTTGTGATTTTGAACATTTCTGACTGATAGCGGAGACAACCTCGCTTTTAGGTCGTTGGTTCAAGTGGCGATGCTGAGCTGATAGCTGCGTCATCATGTTGCTTCCGACTCGAGTTGGCGAAAAGAAATCTCAAGTTAACGCCGGAGGTGAGGCTGCCCGCCGCCATCCATCCCCGGAGGGCCACTCCCGACCCCTGAGACAGATGGAGACGGGCTGCTGGTGAGCGTTTCGCGGGGATCGCCTGTTCATGGGGTCGCTGTGAAACTGGTGACTTTACATCACTTGTCTCGGAGCTGTTGGCGCGATACTCTCCTGGCTGCATTTATTATCTACACTCGGATGGACAGTCTAACATGTATATTGTTGTGGCGTAGATTTGACCAAATGCTTCCCCAAAAGAAAGTATTTTGATATTTTAGGGATGTTAGCCACAACTGTTTGGATAGTGAGAAGTGATGACAGCTAGTGAAATGCCCATCTTCTTCTTTGGAAAAACAAGCTTTTGTATAAGCCATAATGAGAGACGTTGCGGTTCATTTAAGCTAATAGGCTAGTTTGTATCCGTCCACTAGGGTTTGTCAGACTATTAGCAGGGTGGCAAACACTATTTCTTCTGTATTTATTGTTAAAAACGGTGCTCTGTTGTCTGCTGTCACCGTATCCACGTGGACTTTGTTTCAGGTCGGTGGGTAAAGTTAGGCGTTCAGTCCCCCGCTGGGACTGATTACTTCAGAGGGAGCAGCTGTGGTGCTTCTCAGCCAAAGGCACAAAGTTACATTTTTACAACAGAATATTAAAACAATTGATAAAATGGCCGGCGACTGCACCCACATGAAGGCTCACTACACGAAGGCAGAGACGTTTTGTCCGTCCAAACCCTGGTCAGATGAAGACGGAGACAGAGGGATGAAAGGGCGTGGACTTCCCGCACGGTGGTCGCCCAACTTTGAGACGATAGACGGGCTGTTGTACCGCAAGAAGCTGGAGAAGGGCTTCTTCAACTACCGTGAGGTCTTGGAGGAGGACCGGAGACAGGAGGCCCTCTCCACCTTTCACCGGCGGCGCCTCGGACAGCCCCACCTGTCCCTGGAGGAGACTTACAAATGTGTGGCTGAAAACTACTGGTGGGAAGGTATGAGGAAGTTCACTGCACACAGCCTGGTACTTAGGATATTAAGGTCCAAGGCTTACATTGTATACATTAACATAAAAATGCAGTTACTTTACACACATTCACAATGTATGCAAGTATCATGTTTATATATGTCAGGCAATGTAGTAGGTTTATCTATTATAGTATTCTAACTTATTCTGTACATGTTATATTGTGTATTCTTTAGATACTGTATTGATGTATACAATGTGTATTGTTGATATGTATATATTTAGTGTTTATGTCTATTTATTTATATTATAATTATATATTTTATATGATTAACTTGTGTAATGTTCGTTAAAATGCTTCTGTGACAAAAAAACAACAATTTGGGATGAATAAAGTAAATGTTATCCCAAATGCATCTTCTCTTATATATCGCCAAAACTAGCTGTATCTATTGTGCATAGCCATTTGAAACAGCACTCACTAGTGATTAAATCAATCAAAGATGAAGACATGTACTCACACATGATTGAAGGCTCCTAATCATGTCACTTGCTTTAGTTGTTTGTGAGACAGTGCATCCAACATTGTCAGACTTTTTATCAACATCAGACACCAATGTTGCTGGAGGTTTGATATATTTTATTTTTTTCTTCACAGGGATGTACTTCCAGATCAGAGATTTTGTCCTGGGCTGTCTAGAGTGTCAGAGCCAGCACACCAAGAAACCTAAGGTACATAACTGTCCTGCTGTCATTTTAATTTACACTCATCAAACTTTCAGCTCTTTCATTTTATCACTGCCTCATTTTCTGCATCTCACACATTTTAATCCACACCTTCTCACTCTCATTCTCACCTAAGTCTTGCTCTCACACTCTGCAAGTGCTTTACACACATTGCAGTACAATAATGATGCCTCTCTATCTTCTTCTGTTTTGCCGTCTTTGTCTCTCAGGGGCTGGGTGGCAGAGGATGTGTCACCAAGACGATGGTGTCACACAGCGCTGACATGCTGAGCAAGCTGAGGAATCAGCGGGAGGCCGGGCTTTTCTGTGACATTACACTGCGGACCAACGGACAATCCTACTCTGCCCATAGAGCTGTCCTGGCGGCCGTCAGCGATCACTTCCAGGAAATCTTCACAGAAATGGACTCCAGCATGAAATCAGACGTAGATCTCACCGGTAAGATTAGGGGCCAAAGTGACACAATGAAAAAACATTGCTGCAAGAGATCTGTTTAAGTTTAGTTGGTCGATTAGAGCTGCCTGAACCTTGTACCTAGATGTCCCCAAAATGCTTTTATTCTGAACGAAACAGTTCCACTTTAACTCATTCAGTCATTAGTATTTTTTTTAAGCTCATCAACAGTGTACCTAAAAAAAACGATTTGACTTCACCACTTGATTATTGGTTTCGCTGTTAAATGTCAAGTCAATGTCTAGTGCCCATTATTTTTTCACATAGATATTTAACTATCCTTTATGACAAAGTGTAAATCTTACAATCTACAAGCTGGTACCAGTAAATGTTGAAAAGATGAATTGTGACTGTGTTAATACATTTGTTTGTATGCAGTCACAAGACCGAAGACTTGAGTTGACAAGGTTTCTGATGATTATTCAAACAATGGTTTGTATGTATGCTACTGAAAGCTGCATTAAAAAGTCCTTTTCGAAAGGGTCTGCCTTGGCAGTTTGTAAAAACCTATTTGATCTAGAAATTTGAAGTTTAACGATCCATAATTTGAATTGGGACACAGCCCTAGTCTGTCTCCTCATTTACGCATCTTTGATACATGTCATAAAAGCAGAAATGGCCCTAATTAAAGTGCTGGTTATATGGTCTTTACCATCATGTTTACACTTTGCTCCCACTCTGCCTGCTGTTTACTCACTTTCATCTTGCTCACTGACTGACCAGGGTTCATATGTAATTAAAGGCTCCCATCTCCTTTCAGGCTTCAGTGAGGACAGCCTTCTGTCTCTGCTGGATTTCTCCTACTCCTCCACTCTGTCTGTCCGCCCGGAGGACCTTCCTGAAGTTATCGCCATGGCCCGCCACCTGGGCATGTGGCCTGCTGTGGAAGCCTGCTCGGCCCTCATGAGAGAGCAAGACCAAAAACTCCATCCCGGCAAGGACTTTACCTCAGCCTGTGCCGGCGCCTGTCATGAGCATCACCGCCAGCAGAGGGTAGGCAAAAGGAAAAGGGTTTCGGATTTCGAGGACAGTATGAACGACTGCTTCAGTCTGAGGCTGGATTCATCAAATGAGTCATTAGAAGAAAGTCCAAGGCACAATTTGCGCAGGACACCAAAAGCCCAATGCCATAATGGTCTCCCTCTGAGCCCCTCACACAGGATGAAGCTCATGGACTTCAAATCTCCCTCTTCCAAGAAAGCTGCCACCCCTCGACACACTACATCCACCCCACAGTCGCAGAATTACTCGCGCATATCACCATCAAACACCCGTCTTCTCCGCTCCACTCCTGGGGCTGCCAAAAAGGTTCAGAGATTGCTACCCATGCCAGAGAGCCCTCGAAAAAACAAAAAATCTCCCTCTCCCAAACAGCATTCCCGCACCTCAATGTCAAGGGCTTCAAAGGTCACTGTGTGCAGCCCTGTGAGGATAAAGCAGGAAGTGGAGGAGGTTGGAGAGGATGAACAGGATTACGCAAGAGCACAGGAGAAGTACCATCTGATGAATGTTCTTGGGTTACAGAGGACCGCCCTCCTCCCAAGACCAGAAGATCTGATTGGCTGGAGACAGAAGAAACGATTAAGAAAGCTGAAGGCTAACAACTATTCGCTGACAAAGCGTAGGAAACCACGCCCTGCCTCCCCAGGACGGCCATTTGGGGCTGTGACGCTGTCGCTGCCCCTCTGTAACCCTGTTAACACTCATCTTCTTAGCAAGTCAGCAAAGACCAAGCCTTTGGGTCCCATCATCACCGGGCTGATGACACCAAAGAGGCCAAAGACCGTCCCTCCGAGTGACAGGAGCATGAGAAGTAAAGGTACAATACCAGACATGTTCCGCCCTGCATCAAGGCCTCCCTTCATGGGGAGGGAACTCAGGCGGTCGGTGAGGAGGGGTGACACTGCCCAGCAGCCTCGGAGAGGCTACGCCATCAAAACTAAAGTGAAAAACACGGTCAGGATTAAATCAGAACCAACTGAATACTCTCTCTCAGGTTTCCCTCTTTTATCAAACAACCCCCATGACCACACACCCCACAAGTTTCCACCCTCACACAGGACACAGGCCCAAAATAAAGTCACTGTAGAGAGTGTCAGAACGCTGCGTTACAACAGCAGCCGACCTGCAACAAAGGCTAAGCTTAAGCAGGCCTCCACAAGGGAGGTGGGTAAGACAAAGTGTAAGCCCAGAGAGGAGGAGGGGAGGAAGGTCATGGACACTAAACCGAGAGTGAATGTCAATGAACCTGAGGGGCTCACGTTTTCAGACCAGCCTCCTCCCGCATCCATCTACAACCACCCTCTGTACAAAGTCATCAAAGAGGAGCCAGCAGACCCCGTGCCCGTCGGAGGAGCCTTCCCCGATCCCCCCTCACCGGACCTGGGCAAGCGCCAGAGCAAGCCTCCCATCAAGCTACTGGACTCAGGCTTTTTGTTCAGCTTCTGTCGGCCAGCAGGGGGCCCGATGGCAATACTGAAGAAAGAGGAGGAGAGCGTGGATATCTGCTTAACACGCTCCGTGTCACAAGTTGGGGAAGGATTTGGAGCGGTGGAATCCCCCCACAGGTCGCTGAGAGCCAGACCCCCCGCCCCGCCTGTGGTAAAGAAGGAGAGGGTGGAGAGGAGCGTGAGCCAAGGCAAGGCTCAGAGACCCCGGCCGAACGCCCGCAGCATCAATCCTCAACTGGCTAAATGTGCCGGGTTGAAGGCCACACGGACCAAGTCAAAGGTAGATCAAAGAGAGTACACATTTGTGTTGGTAGCTAACTATAAACACAGTAAAAGGGCAGTACAGGAATGACTTAAATGAAAGTCAGAAATACATTCAACCATATCCCCTTCATCCTGTTGCCACAAAATAATCTAATATCTGTTGAGCAGTTAGTCACCTTATTGCCTTTTTTAATGATGCACTTATTTACAAGACATTTATGATCACATCTCTGGCGAAACACAAGTTTTAAAGTGGAGCTTTTGTAATATTCCTTTTTGAGAAACGTTACTGATCTGTTGATTTAAATGACGTAACTGATTAGTTAACAAAATCCTAAGAGTGTCAGACGAATACAAATGTATTAAGTGAAGTACAGCCCAAACGTGAGCTTACTTTTATCTAAACCTTTACATTTTCATTCATGATGTTTATTTCATCTTTTTTAATATAATATTTGACTTTCCCTGTCTTCTTCCTGCATCTCCAGCAGCAGGTGAGACGCCCTCGGAGCAGCAGGAGTTGTGTCAGGATGGACGCAGTGTGTCGGGCCAGGCTAAAGCAGCTTAGAGGGCCACGTAGTCAGGTCCCCAAAGCCCTCAAGGCGCCCCACGCCTGTCCGGAGTGCTCAACCTCCTACAAGAGCTGTGACGCTCTGATCATGCATCGCCTCAGACACATCGAGGGCAAGCACTGGCCATGTCTGGTAAGCACTGACTCGTACCACACGACTAATGCATCAAAGTCATGACCCCGAGCACCAGAACCCTGCAGGTTTCATTCCCGCCCAGAAACCTCAAGCCTTGTGATTTAGAGTCAAAGCTAATCATACTGTGAGATTCAAATATGACAGGTGTGTCAGCGTGAGCTGGGTGTTCCCATTGTGCATTGGTTTGAAATAAAGTGCAGACTTTTTTGTCAAAGTACATTTACCTGGATAATGTACCTGTTTACAATTATGAAATGCTTTTTCTTTGCTTTAGTAATTCCATTTGATACTTGTCAGACAAAGATCCTGGAGGTCGGACTTCCTCCTTTGTATAGATGAGGCCAACAAGACATTACTTTGGATGTTCTAGTAGGCGTATTCTTTTACGTCTGACAGAATAAGGAGTGATATACTGCTTCAAGTGAGGGAGTTCAAGAACCTCTGAGTCTTTTTCATGACTTTTACATTGGAGATGACAGTCATAGATGAATGACCTCTCTGGGCATTGACCTAAATAATATATTGAATACAAGCGGCTTAAATGTACGTTGGGTGGCTGAGCTTAGACTTGGAGATACATTTGAAAAGGGGAGGGGCTCTACATAACAACATGTAGCTTGTGGTGCACAGGTAAAATAATACAGACCCTTTTTTAATATAAATTGTGAGCAGTTCACGAGGGAGCTGAGAGTAATGCCGCTTGCTGTCCCTTTTTGTAAGGGCCCAGTTCATCAGGATGCCTCCTGGGGGCTTCTCATTGGTGGGCCCAGGGGTCGACCAAGCTGGAGAGATTATTGATGCGTTCCAGTGATCCGACCTCTGATAAGCTGATATAAAATATCAAAGCTTTGCTAACCTATTTTGATAAGCTAACCAGTTGCAGGCTGTATCTTCACATTTGTTGTACACAACTGAAAGTACTTTAAATGTTAAGTACTTTTATAAAAATGTAACGCTTCTCTGTTTGTCTCTGTCTATTTATAAGCCGTTAACTCTCTGTCCTCCCCTTTCTGTCGTGTAGCTCTGCAGTAAGACGTTCTTTCTACTGAGGAATGTACGGAGCCACATCCGCACACATGACCCCAAGTTGTACAAATGCCGGAGCTGCATCGCTGCCGGAAACTGAAGCAGCCGAGGCTCAGCGAGACTGAGGTGGGTGAGAGTAAAATCCATTCACACCTGAGTTACGGACCGTCCACACAGCAGCGTTAAAAAAATCTTGAAACGCTTCTGCCCATTCACTTTGAATGGGGTGACGTCACTTTCCCTCACTTTTCGCCGAACTGCATTGTGGGCAGGCGAGCGGAGATTTTCAGGATTTTCAGGATTCAAAGTTGAGCAATGTTCAACTTTTGAGGCTGAGGTGGAAGCGTCAGCCAATCAAATCCCATGTACGCAAATCTGACCGTTCAAGCTCTAGCCAATCAAACGGCGTGTAAGCTGGGAGAGACATACCGCAGTTCATTTCCTCATATTCCAAAAAATGGAGGAGAAATTAGCGGTAGGGAATCACCCGGTGCTTTATGACCAGTCCCTATTTACCTACCGGGATATAAACCGGAGGAGCCAGGCATGGAGGGAGGTGGCAGAGACAGTGGTAGGTTTTCGCCTGTTTGGGGAGTTTATATCCAGTTTACTTCAAACTGTTTTGCTTCGTATGTCGGGGGCGGGAGATTCATGTGATTGGTTGTTGGTGCCTTGCTCGCAAAAAATCCCCAAGCTTCAGATACGCCCACCTCCAAGATTTTTTTAACGCTGCTGTGTGGACGGTCCGTTACACTTTTATGGCTTGGACCATCACTCCTAAAACTTCTTCATCAGATTTGTTTGGAACATTGATTTCTTGTCTTGACATTTGTGTTTATTCTCCAGGACGAAGGCTGTCCGTGACACAGCGAGCGGGCTGAAGCCAGAGGCACATGATCGATCAGCAGCTTGTACATAATGAATTCGTCACACACGAGCCCGCGGTCTGTGGGAAGGCGTATTTTCTCTGATTCTAATCATTGCCGGCGCCAATGACCGCCAATGTTATTTAAATAACCAAATGTAGGTTGCTGGTCTTGTTTCTGTAGCTACAGAAGGTTAAACTTGAACATTACACTCAGGGGGCGGGGAATTTGATGCCACGGTATAAAGTGATTTATTGTCATGGTTGTGTATAAAATGTAAAGTAATTGTTATAACTTTTACTGCTACTTATTGTTATTTTTCTATGTATAGAGGATTTCTTGAGTGCACTTATATAATAGCTTATGTTGTGAACCTAAGAAGTGGTGGTGAAATTGAAGATTTTGAGTCTATGGCGGGAATACTTGAAGTGATGCAAGCGGGGGTCTTAGGAGTGAGACTGTCCTTTAGGTGTTTCAGTGGCTCTGTGTCCTGTTGGCATGGTAACTTCTAAACGGCTTGACCAGTCCCTCTTTTCCTATCAATCATGTAATCTCTACTGGTCCCGAGTCGTGGATTTGACTCCGGTTGCTATGGGGACACCACTGCATGTGTATTTGCATTTTGCAGGCCCATTTGTGGTCCACTGTCTTTTCTAAGGCTGCCAATTTTAAAAAGGGAAAATGTTTCTTGTTTTTAAAATGTGAATTTCTGAATAGTAATCAACACAGCTGTGTCATTACAGATGTTTTATTGATCTCCTCTCACTTTAATCCAAGAAAAAGACACACGTCGTCTTGTTCTACTTTAAATTCCCCTCCTACTGATTACATGCAACCCGTTCACATATCCTTATCTGTTAAAAGACCGAATAAACATTTGCCTTTTATGTCTTGTTCTTGCTTCAATTACATTTTTAAGTATATATAAAACTATTTCAAAAGGTGGGTATCATGTTCTAAGTAACTTGTGTATAGTAGATGTATATGTACAGTAGTGGAGCTAATACAATTACATTAACTAGTAATATTAACAATTTGTGGTAAGAAAAAACCTAATGTCTTCCTAGCCTCTCTAATTGCTTCTTTCCATTGTCTTTTTCTGGACAGTATGTTGGACAAAACAACCAATAAGAACACCAGACTATTCATTTAAAAAAAAAAAAGATTATTACCATGGAAAAATATTTGCATTTAACCTACTACATTTTGATTGCAAAAATACTCCCATTACTAAGGGAAGGTGGTTATACGAGACACTGGATGTGGAGGAAGTGATCCAGAGACACTGGATGTGGAGGAAGTGATCCAGAGACACTGGATGTGGAGGAAGTGATCCAGAGACACTGGATGTGGAGGAAGTGATCCAGGAGGAATGAGGAAGAGCTTCAGGCATTCATCACTTCTTTGCATCCTTTCTCATTGGCTCATCTGCAGCTAAAATGAAAGCCTTTGTGTGCAGGCGAGATCAAATACAGTTAACTCTACCAATTTAAGATTAAACTTTGAGTATCACCCAAAATCTATTTAGTAAGTACACCAATATATTGGGACAGGGAATTTACAACAAGGAATAAAAGTATTTGGATACAAGAAAGGAAAATAACAGCTCAAAGCAGATCAAAATCATAGTCAAATCTCATAGTTTGAGTTTAGTTGTAAGATAATAAATAATGGAAAAATAGATAACTCACTGTTTGAATACTAGCTGTTAATTATATTGGATGTCAAACTATTTGAATGCATCTGGGGGAAAATTAGCAGCATTATTCACCTTTATCAAAAGTATTCAAATTGCAGATGTAAATCATGTGCAGAACAGACAGTGACAAGGCACATTTCCATGACTTCCTCTTGTCATTAATATTAGCATGATAACAAAACAGAAGGGTGGAGGGGAATGTGCACTGTACAATAAAAAAGATGCAGAAAACAACAGATTAGAAATAGTCTTAAAATGTATTTCAGATCAATTTAAGCTAAATCTGAACGACTGAATGGTTGATATGATTTCATGCACTGTCATTATTAAACAGTATCTGAAGCAAGATACCCCCCCCCCCCCCCTTAACCCACTAACTGTTTGCTCACTCTGGTCTCTGCGGTGTTTATCCCACCTGCCTCCTAGGAAGTGAAATGAGTCTCAATACTGACAGATGCCTGACTCATTATTAGGCATTCATAAATAATTATATAACAAGTATTCCATTAGAATTGTGTTTCCAACATGAAGTTCGTCTAGCCTTATTTACTTTTAATTGTATAGCAAATTGTACACACTGTTCTTTGTATCCTCCATTATTTGTATTATGTGATATAAATCAATGAATACAATGATAACAGAATCAATTGCAGGTTTCAGATTGTTCTTTTTGACACTTCAATTGAACATCTTTTCCGTTCAAAGTCACTTTTTAGGTATATTTTTGACGTATTTTGATGATACTGACAGATCTGCATGAACAATTCACAGAAGTTGTGTGTAGTCCGTACAATGCATGTTGTGTTTAGGTGCTGCTGTCTCTGTAAGTTAATGCCAACCACACTTGAGCAGACTTTCTGTCATTATTATGCAGGAAGATTAAAACACATATGTGGAAAATAAGACATTAATTTGTGTTGGGTTGCATTGTTTTGGGAATTTTAAATGTATTTACTATTTGCCATTGACATTATACTAATTTCTGTCCAAACTACCCCCCACCTCACTTTGAGCACATGTTGAAACTTCAGTATTTTGAGGCAAGTGGCTCTAACCCAAACATCTCTGCAGCTGAATTTCTCCCCAACTGTGATGGGGAATTGTCAAAAGAGAATATTTCAGCAAAGAAGTCTCACTGGTGATGAGGATTCTCATTAAACCAGACAGACAGAGGAAGCAGGGACTTCTTTGTTCTATTTGTGTAACACTCGGCAGAAAACACTCACATTAATATATATTTTTTTTATTGAGCGTTAGAGTTAATTATTCAGGTTTCAGTGTAGGCCTATTTGTCTCCAAATCTTACAGAAACCTATAATCTTGACCTGTACCTTATTCTATCTAATAAACAGCCCTTTGCTGTAGTACTTCAGGTTTTTAATTGTAAATGATCTGCTTTGCTGCCTCAAAACAACCCCTAAGCGTAGCTTTATTAAACCAACAGTACCCAAACCCAACACTAGATGACAGCCTGCACTAATGGTTAACAATGGCCGCTCTGTCACAATTTGACTACAATGCAAGCCCTATGAACCCCTACCTCTGGAAAACACCAGACACCCCCAATCTCAGAGTTAGGGAAAAACAGTTTTATAGAGCACATTTAGAAAGAAATGTGTGAGTGTCCACCTTTCCATGACTTCTAGCTAAGCATAAATTACCTGTATGTTCCTACAATTATTTAGTGACAGTAATAAGTATAAAAACTGAGAAAAAGGTAAATGATTCTGGTACTCTTAATTCTCAAAAGGTCAATGATGGAACCTGTTTGGAATTATTGTCAAAATAAACTCTTTAATTGCAGGAAAGTGATAGTAATAGTATGTTCATATGTCATGACGATTCAGTCCAACAATATTGTGCAGATATTTGCTATAATGAATTTAAAAGGCCAAAGGAAGGCATGTTGAAGTTAAACCCCAAAATACCATTAGCCTGAGTATCTGTTGCAACTTGCAGCTTATTATAGCGTAAAACTCTCAGTGCCTTCACGCTGCAGCATTATTGGGGGGCCACGGTATACTTTTTCAGACTCATAACCGACAGGGCTTACTTGGGTTACCCTTGTCCCACCAGCGACTGCATATGTGGGCTTATGTGAGTTTAGGGAGCCATGGAGTACGCCCAGGAACAGCTGACAATTTATGCTAGTGGGGCCCCCACATTCTCAGAGAGAGAGAAGAGAGGGGGAGGGAGGAATAAGGGGGAGAAGGAGAAAAAGAAGGGGGGATGGAGATGTTAGAAAGAGCAAGGAGAAGAGTGAGGAGCAGACCTGAGTTGGAGGGTTGAGAGAAAGAGAGAGGGAGGGTAAAAAAAAAGTGGAGAGAGAGAGAGGGAGGCTGTCTTGTTTGTAGCTTGTCAGCAATTGCTTGAGACAAGCTTCCCCTCCATGTGTGAAAGCTACTTGGCAGGAATGCTTGGACCGTACCAAGTGCAGCCAGGCGAGAGGGGGGATCCGCAAGAGGAACAGACCCGGATTGAAGAGCCAGTAGTGTGTGGCTGAAGTAATCCTTCGGCGGTGGCGGCTCTTTGATGTTGTATCTTTGTGGATGTGTGTGTGTGGAGAGGAGAGGGAGGGGGGAACGGTGTGTGGGTGTGAATGAGGCTGGAGAGAGCGTTCTGTATGGATATGTGCTCTCTCTGCCCAGCAGCAACAAAAGAGAGGGAATGAGACACCCCCCTTGGTCCCCCCTCCTCCCGAGCTCTCAAGAGAAAGAAAGCTAAAAAAAAAATTAAAAAAAGGAAAAGAAGATGATGAAACCTGAAGTGGTCCTGCAGTGTGAATTGCGTGTGTGTCTGCGAGCATACACACACGGATGCTCATATGTGCATCTGCATATTTGCCTGTGTTGCTCTGCATGCATGCCGTTGTGAATAGCTTTTCCAATGTAATCTGTTTACTAACAATCTGTGCGCATCCTGTGTGTGTGTGTGTGTGTGTGTGTGTGTGTGTGTGTGTGTGTGTGTGTGTGTGTGTGTGTGTGTGTGTGTTGTGTTCAGTCTGTGGGTGTTTTTTTTTCCTGCTTGCAATTGTCTGTGTTCGACTGTGTGGTCATGTTATGTGTTTTCTCCCCAGTAGAGGCTGTTATTGTCCTAAGAATGTGTGTGTGCCTGTGTGTGCCTGTGTGTGTATGTGTATGTGTATGTGTATGTGTATGTGTGTGTGTGTGTGTGCGTGCGTGTGTGTGTGTGTGCGTGCACAGGGTCAATCTCCAGTAGCCTGTTGCTTTCTGCTCCTGACTGCTCTCAGCTCTGCATCAGGAGGAATGTAGACTGAAATGGATTCCTGCAGGATTCCTCTTCTCTGCCTTCATTATTCCCACTGCTGCTGCTGAACAAACAGACACACACACACACACACACACACACACACACACACACACACACACACACACACACACACACACACACACACACACACACACACACACACACACACACACACACACACACACACACACACACACACACACACACACACACACACACACACAGATTTTGCTGCCTGCTGACACAAACAGGAATATTTTACAACCTGGCCATAATGATTAACACACGACAAGCAGCTTGCTTCTTTCCTCCCTAAAAAACTCTAGAAAACGGACCTCTCCTCCTCATCTCCTCCCATTTTCTTAACTTTCACTCACTCTCCACATCTCTCTCGTTTTCTCCCTGCCTCTCATGTCATCACAGACGCACACTCTGCTGTTGGCAGTCACAGTGTTTTATTTCCACACTCATCCTTTGTGTGTGGAAAGCAGTAAAGTTTGAGAGCGTCCAGTCAGCAGCAGCAGAAGCAGCAGGCTACCGAAACAGCAGCAGCCTCTGTTACACAAGTAACTGAAAGCTCCTCTCATCCCTTCACCCCGGCTCATCATCTGTTTCCACGGCTTGTGGTACAAAAAAAAGGAGGCCAAGAAACGGAATGCAATTTGAAATGAATTAGGCCGTGAATAATTTCCAGGATGTCAAAATGTATCGGGGTGAAGGCGTTTATGTAATTGGAGCACTTGGTTCACTGTAGCTTAAGAGAGGACATTCGTTATTGGGACTTGAACGCATCGCACACACGTAACGAAACACACACACACACACACACACACACACACACACACTGGCTGACTAACATGTTTGATATGTGCATGTGTATGCGTCGGTGCACACCTACGTTCACACCTGAGTGATGCA